AAAAGCTTACGCGATTTCTGATTTTTCCGGCGAGCTCGTGGCTGCAGGCGGCGGGGGAGGACGTCGGGCTGGGAGGCTGGGGAGTCGCCGGTCCGATCTGGGCTGGCCGGCGTCGATGGTGGTGGCTGGGAGGAGGGGTGGTGTCGGCTGGAAAACCAAAGGGGGGGGGAGGGAAGAGATGCGGGGGGAGAGAGTGGGGAGAGAAGAAATCTGGTTTTTTTAAAAAATCTGACTTTTTCCAAAATTTCAATTATGCCCTTTTTATGTATTTTGCTTGTAATTTCTTCGTTACAAGTCCAATTTGAGTCCACTACGTGTCTACATACTCGTTTTGTCGTGCTCTACGCAACGGTACAAGTGGATTTCCAAAATTCCTTCCTTGTCAAAAAGTCAACTTAAAACCTAATAAAATATTCTAAGGGTATAATTGTCTTTTCCTCTAATAAAATATTAATTAAATAATATTTAAGGATTGGGTTGTTACACTGCTGCTACGGATTGGATGAGTTTAGAGGCTGTGTACTCAAGGAAGATGGCTCCAGGTATGTTTTCATGTCTTTATACGTATTACATATTTGTGTGAAAGATCTAGATTGTATAATAAAGAAATCTAACACAAAATGCATAATATTGTGATTGATGATGTGCTATCTAGTAGAAAGTCTAATAATTCTAGCCAACAAATGTTTTATGGGTGGCCCAACTTCTCAAGAAGTTCTGAGAAAATGACACATGCAGCTCCTCCCACTACAAGTGAAAGAGTGAGCCTTCCTCCTGGAACTAACTGTGGCACTGGCAATTTCATAGCTGGGGATGAACTGGAGTACCTATCTGACCAAGACATTGCAGCAGGAAGAATTCCAAACAGCACCAACACTAATAAAAACATGAAATCAAACTTCATTCAAAATGAGTAAAAGTAATGGTTATATGCATCCAAAAGTACAAATATAAAAAAATACACTAAACTGGAAAGCTACACCACAGCATACCTCCATAAGTTCCAGCGAAGTCCAAGGCTTTGAAGAATATTTCTGGGTCTAGCAAAGACAACACAATTGGTGGAACCAACGTCATTGCGTATGGCAGAGATCGGCTCTGACCGGCCGGAAGTTTCAGCACTGAGTATTCGGAAATTGACATTGGATGTTAGATAAGCATACCTTTCTGTACAATTAGATAAGCACAGTGGCTTAAGTATATAAGCATGCATAAACATATTTACAGTGGCTTAAGGAGAAAAAGCCCATTCTCAAAAGGATTTATGATAGAAGTAGGTAAAAATGCACAATGGGAAAAGGAAGAAAAAAAGGCTGAATTACATTTTTGTTCCACTTTGGTCCTAGTCATTTCAATTTTGCCAATTTTAGTTGTTTAGTTTTCTTTAACTTACAATCAAGTCCAAATAAAAAATGTGATTTAGCCAAAATGAAAAAAATGAAAGAAAAAGAAGCTACATAAGGGCTGGACGGCCAGGTGTTTTGAACTCTTAATGAGAAGCTATGAAGATCGGAAAAAAAAAAAAGCGCTCTTGTTTATTTTCATTTCAATCAATTTTTTTTTAATAGAAATGAAATTTATTGAAAGAAAAAGAAGAGGAACACACAAGTGGATAAGAAATCCACAAGCCAAACGAGCAACAACAGAAAAACAGACTAAAAAAACAAAGACACCAGCCAAACTACACAAAGGACTGCTACACCAGAAAGACCCAAAGAAACCAAGTCGCAAAACAAACACTTCACATCACAGCAGCAGCCATATCCCTCAATATAGTGGAGTAAGAATAGTCTTTGAAATCTGAAGTGACAGAAGCCCAGTCTTTGATCATATATCTTCTACTAATTAAATACACATTCATATTGAAAAAAGATGAATCGTTAGGTGGAACTCACAGTCAGAAAGGAAGTCAGAGAGACCCAAAACAAAGCCGATGTACGACGTTGCAATAGCAAAAAGTGAGAACACCTCAACAATAGGCTGAAAAAAAAATTAAAACAACAAAGTAAAAGAAAAGGAAAGGAAAATAGAACTTTATCGCTTCACATACTATCTGTTACTTCAAAGAAATTCAAGAACGACTCTTGTGATAAACCTACTCCAACAACTTCGTTCGTAGATAGCAATTGTTGTAATGGATCCATGATCTTATCTGAGCTCATTTCAACAGTTGTGATGGTTCCTAGAATCACGGCATTCCAGACTAGAAATAAAACAAGTGGTATACTGGTGCCTAAAACAATTGCAGTCCTGAAAAATAACAAGTTGATTACATACACAACATACAATATCAATAATGCATGACAAAATACTAAAACAAACCTATCAGACAAAATGATTATACGAGTAACGAAACCAAATGTCTAAGTCAAGGCACATATTTATACAATCTCAAATTATAAATTAATTTTAGGGTGCCATAGGCATGACAATTCTTAAGGACCATTTATAAAGTCAACCAGGTACAAAGTCGGCCTTGACCTTGGACTAATATAGACAAAGACTTTGATGTAGAACAGCCCATAATTAAGCACTCAAACAATAGAACATAGAAGAATATAAGAGGTCGAGGAGACGAAAATATAGACCGAAAAGACGAAAGAAAAGGCAGAACAGTAGAACAAGAAGAATATCGGAAGTCGAGGAGACGAAAATATAGATCGAAGGGACGAAAGAAAGGACTGAAATCAGAGATCCAAGAAGGAAGGACAGAAATCACATAGTTTTAAGAGAAGGTTTACTCAGTATCCAAATCTGAATTTTAAAGAACTACATGGGGGTATTTATAGCAAACTAAAACCTAGACATAATGGGATAGAAATCCCTTGCTTAAACAGAAATCCTAACCCAAATAAAATAGGAAACTTAAAACTAGAAATCGGGAAATCTGGAAAAGTAGAAATCCTACTAGAATTTGGAAAACTAGAGAAACTAGGAAACTAACAAATATATTAGGAAACTAATAAATTTAGGTCCTATGCGTCCTGCATCATTCTCCTCCGCTGAAAAGAACTCGACTCCGACGAGTAAATAGCGACAAAATCAAAATCCCAAGGAAGTGTGAAGAGGCATGTGGGGTTCTTTAGTGCTTCAAGATCAGCATCATATTTGCCACCTTGAAACCAGCTGTTCCGCAAGCCTGGAACATTAGTCCTTGTAAGAATGGCAAATAGAGAGCTCTACCTAGACCCATGATGAACATGATCGGCCAACGAATGCAAGCGCGTGTGTGGGTGTGATAGACCCTCAATCCATTGTGTTTGTAAGTCGTCGCCAGAGTGCCTTCGTTCAGGAAAAACACCTGGCTGGGCGTGTCGGGCTATCTCAAAATCCAAGTGTCGGTACATGAAGTTCTTGTCGTGTGGTCGGGGTGGTGGGGTAGGGACAGGAATGTTGTCGTCAACGAGAGGAGGACCCATCGTATGTTGGGTATGGTTGGGCTGCAGCATAGAACCAAAAGAAAAGATGGGCTCCAGTTGAGCCTTGGGCATGCCAATCGATAGTCCCGTTGATTGATTCGGAATACCTTGTGGCTCGGCCTTGAGTTTTTGATCCAGCGGTGGATTGGGAAGAAGGCCACCTTTTGGCGGCGGCGTAAACGAACTTGAGAGCACCGCTGAGGTAGAAAAAGGCTCAGTCATTCCAAGTCGAAAGTGATTGATAAGCATATGAACAGAGTCTTGGAGTTTGTTGATGGCAAGGTCCGTCGTCGCATGATTTTTGTGAGCCTGTACCAACTCGTCTTTGAGGTCAGCACGATGTGTGTGAGCCTGTACCAACTCGTCTTTGAGGTCAACGCGGAGTTTGGAGAGTTGGGTTTCCATGCCAGCGATATTGTCAGAAACTTTATCATGGAACGCATGAAATTGTTCTGCAAGGCTGGCCACGGTTTGGGGTGCCATGGTAGAGAGCAAATGCAAACGAAAGTGGGGGGAAGGCTCTGATTACCAATTGATGTAGTACAGCCCGTAGGTATTAGATTAAGCACTCAAACAATAGAACATAGAAGAATATAAGAGGTCGAGGAGACGAAAATATAGACCGAAAAGACGAAAGAAAAGGCAGAACAGTAGAACTAGAAGAATATCGGAGGTCGAAGAGACGAAAATATAGATCAAAGGGACAAAAGAAAGGACCGAAATCAGAGATCCAAGAAGGAAGGACAGAAATCACATAGTTTTAAGAGAAGGTTTACTCAATATCCAAATCTGAATTTTAAAGAACTACATGGGGGTATTTATAGCAAACTAAAACCTAGACATAATAGGATAGAAATCCCTTGCTTAAACAGAAATCCTAACCCAAATAATATAGGAAACTTAAAACTAGAAATCTGGAAATCTGGAAAACTAGAAATCTGGAAATCTGGAAAACTAGAAATCCTACTAGAATTTGGAAAACTAGAGAAACTAGGAAACTAACAAATATATTAGGAAACTAATAAATTTAGGTCCTATGCGTCCTGCAACAATGACATATCAGGTCGTCTTTTTGAAAATATATCACGCCAGTTACTTGGAATCTAAAGTTTGAAGCACAAATGTGACATCCATATAGGCATAATACATTTCTGTGTGGAATCTGTTGGACAACTACAAGGGATTGAAAAAATCCATGCTCATGCGAGCAGCTGAACATTTCGGGAAAGCATTGGCTTGCAACTGAAATTCTTTTCCTTTTGACATATAGCACAATCCAAGGCACTCTGCTTGCGCTAAGGGGAGCAGTCTCATCATAAGATCTCGAATGAACGTGAACGAGATTTGAAGATTCTATGAGCTCGATCCACTTAATCATCATTTCGTGTTTTATCACATTCATCTATTTACAAAGTTATCGTGGATTCAATCTTTCATAATCCTTCACATCAACCATGTCACTATTTGAACACAACCTCATTAACCTTTCACTAAACCTGAACTTCCTCATCTTTCAAACTAAAAGGAAGAAATGGCTTCATTCTTCCGTATATGTCACGAACAACTATATTAATGAGAGAAATGAATGTAATATATATATATATATATATATATATGAATGTATGCATAATACATATTAGTATGTGGTGTACATATCAATTTATGTTTGAACATAAATTTATGAGCACTACCTATGTCACAAACTTCTATATAATAGAATAATACTTATCGAAAAATTCTATTTACAGAATGAAAACTTCGAGCATTTATATTATAGGGATGAGCTTCAAGTTCACCTGGTATTATTTGATTGCTGTTGTACTTCAAAAATATCAAATACATTGACATGGCATAAATATTATATAGGGTGGTTTGTTGGTCATTTTAAATATTAACGTTTTGATAGCCTTGTAATCAGACTTGATCATGTCTATACAGTCTTCAACCTCAGCATCAAGAAAAAGTGTTAAAGTTTACCATCTTACTCTTTGAGCAGTCTAGAGGCTTAAGCCCATTTCATTGGAAAGAAGTTTCTCAGGGCCTTATGATGAGGACATCTTTGTCAAACCAATTAGGGTTTACAAAAGAAAGAGATGGAAGAGGAAGTCGTTTAATTTGGTCTTTAAATCTAGCAATTTTTTATTCCTGCGATTAGTTTCTAACTTGTTCTCTAAGTTTTCCAGATTTTAGTAAGATTTATAAGTTTTCCAGATTTCAGTAGGATTTATAAGTTTCCTATTTTATTTAGGTTAGAATTTCTGTTTTAGCAAGGGATTTTTTTATCCTATTGTCTCTAGGTTTTAGTTTGCTATAAATACCCCTCTCATGTAATTCATTATGGAGTTGTGGAGATATAAAGAAAAGCTTATTTTCCAGAGATTGGAGACTACTTGGTGTGAAGCCAAACCCCTGGAGTGATTCCAGACCTATCCCTTTTGTTCTATTTTCTGTTTTCCATTGTTTTCGCTTCCGCTAAACTACCTAAATACTCAATTCACCCATATCCTACATCACCTTCCGGAGTTCATCTCTAATCTTTGTTTTATTATGGGTTAGGGGGATATAATTTGTTTTTGGAAGAATGTGTGTTGGGAATTCTCCATTAAGTATCTCTTTCCCCACCTATATAGGATTTCAATGTCTCTTGACGTGTCTTGGTAGTTTGTGTGATTTCTATGCATCGTCTGCAGGTGGAATTTTAATTTCAGGAGAAATCTGAGAGACCATGATGTGGGGGAGTTTTCCAATCTCTCTCATTGATTTACCCTCTCACTTTCACCAATACTTGACAGAAGAATTTCTATTGTTGAGTCTTACGGTAGTTTTTGTTGCAAGTCATTTCATAACCCTTTAACTGAGGATCACTGTCTCTATTTTCAGTTCATCTGTCCTATAGGACCAAGGTGCCTCCCAAGGTCCAATTTTTGGCTTGGGTTGTTGCCCATGGAAGGGTTGACACCTGTGAGGTTCTTCAATGTTAAGGTTATACTTTATCTCTCCCCACATTGGTATACATTGTGCAAAAGGGCGGCAGAAAGCAATGACCATATTTTCTCATTGCTCAATGGCTTTAAGTTTGCGGTACAATCTTCTTCAGCTTGCTAGGTTAAATTGAATGTTGAAGTCTTTGTTTTCTGAGAGATTGTGTGCTTTTGGTGGTGGAGAGAAGGCTAAGGTTTTGTGGAGATGCAGTGTACTGTAAATGTTTTTGTGTTTTGGATGGAAAGGAACAGAGTTTAAGAGAAGCTCGGGAAGACAACGAACAAGCTTAGGGATCATTCAGATTATGGGCCTGTCTTGACTTCAGTTTCCTCTGTGTTCCGAGACTGACCATTTTTTCTATATATATGGATTAGGAAGCAGCTGTTTCACCTTACTTGTATGCATGCATTTTTGGTACCTGGATTTTTTTAGGCTGAGGGTAGCATCGTTTATGGACTTTGATTGTAACTCTACATTAGTATTAATTAATACAAAAATCAAATTATCACCTTACTTTTGACAGGTCTCCTTCAAGATTCGTACAAAGAACAGGCACAACATTCTGGAGAAGGTATATACAAAATGTTAAAGAGTTGCTTTAATATTGAATGACTATATAAGTTGGTGATGTTAACCTGGTAAACAAACGACAGAACAATTATGGGTATACTCATGGGAACAGCTTGAAAGTTAGCTTTCAAAAGAACATCCCATTGTAGGTATCCACTCGCGACGGCCTAAGAAAGAAAGCAATGTTTGTTTATTGTTGCATGCCCGATATTGATGCATAGAACATCATTTAAGCAACTCTCACCACTTAAAACATCATTTTATCAGTTCTATTTGATGCATAAAAAATACTGCATGCTTGTGTTCGCAACACAGTATGCAGAAAAATAGAATTGAGCATGACAATGCATATGAGACAAAGCAAATTTTCCAATAACAAGATGTTAGGATCACAATTAAATGGTTTTGACTTTCCTGCTTCTTTTGATGCCAGACTGGTTCTAAATCATAATTCAAAATGTATATAAAGCCTATCTGAAAATAAATTGACGAGGAATACATATTTACAATATGGCTCACCAAAATGAAACAAGTCTGGTTTATTATTCTCCAGGATAAGTTACAAATAAAAGCAGTCCTGTTTCACCAAAAATAGAAAAATAAAAGCAGTCTTTTTGTTTAACTTTTCGAAATTCTTTTGCATCTCTTCCATAATATCTATTTATCAAAGTTCACAGAAATTAATAGGATCTTTCAAGGGAAATATTCTAATGACTACTGTGCAGACATAATTTTGGTCAAAATTGGACTGGAGCAGAGAATCTGTACTCTGGAGCAAAAACACTTAAAATCATCCAAGTCCTGAAGAGAGAGAGAGAGAGAGAGACTTACTACTAGAGCAGCAAAAGATATGATAATTCCAAATACCAGAACCCCATTAACCGCACCAACGAAGCGTTGACTACATGTGAAGATAAGTTTACAGTCAAACTCAAATCTCAACTGGAGAGAGAGAGAGAGAGAGAGAGAGAGAGAGAGAGAGAGGAGCTACAAAAATTCATCATATTTCAGTTCTCTTTGGAAGCTTAGCATGCCACTGTTGTTAGCTTGGTATACCTATGGCCTCTAATTTCCATTCCATATGTATCTGAAAGGTTACAAAATGAAAGGTGTGGTTGCACCGATATTTTTCCCTCGAATTGTCTGTCTGTCTCTCCATGTGTAGGATGAGGCTCCACATAAGGGAGGGGATTAGATATCAATACATAATTATTGGCTCATTCCCTAACTGCTGAAGCTTTTGGAAACCAACGGTTGTCTAATAAATGTAGGTCAATACATTCTCAAATTTCCTCTGGAAACAAATTTCCAGTTTGAAATTGGCTTTCTTTCTGTTAGATGGTATAGAGCTTATACCATGTGAGAAAAGGTTCAAGGTACTGCAAGGATGGCACAGACACGCATATATTTCATAGGCACACACCGCTGCTCATTCATGCACATGATCAGTCTACCATACACACACAAACACACATTTAAAATTAACCAGTACAATGACATCATAACCTTGATCAGACATGTAGCATAACTTCCTATTTAGTTTTTGTTTTTCTTTGTTTTGGTCAACTACTTCCTATTTAGTTAATGATCAGCATTCTCGACTAGCAGTCATCTTAATAGAAAGACCGAGACCCACCAATTGGTTAACTTGGCATATAGTCTACTAACAGTACATGATTGCCGTATTATTACTAGAACAAGATTGGTTTACTTTAATGTACTTAGTTTACAAAAACGATAACCTAAGTGTAAAGATGAACCTTCCAAAGTAGCATATGCCTCCCAACAGCAATGAAAATATTGTTGCACTTTCCCATCTGCAACCATAATGCTGCCATCAACACCTAACAAATGTAGAAGTATAATTCGAATATAAAATGGACAATTGTTACTCATAAAATTCAGATGTGAAACAGCAAAAAGCTGGTGCAACAATTGGGCACATTGGAAATGCTACAGATTGGTCCTTACAAGGGAATTCCGAGAAAATTTGACATAATTTCTGAAGAACGAGCCACATAGGCAACAAGAAGTGCATAGTGTATAAAAATGTATGACCAACTGCAGGATAATGAAAGTTGCTATCAGAAACTGATTAAGAAAATCGCACATAAAATTGTACTATAATAGGCCATAATGACAGACCATGTTTACATAATTAGTGGTGCACAAAATAATAAAAGAGCATATTGAATAAACTATCTAAAACATTTAAAAGAAGCACAGTAGATAATTTATTTTCTAGTTAGAATAAGGCAGAATGATTTTCCCCTTAGATTGAATGGTATATAAACTCACTACAAGGTTACAAATAAGGAAGGTACAAAAGTCAACTATACTAATTGCAATTAATATACAGCTAATTAATTAATTAGCCTATTCTAGTCTTCATGCCAACATTGGTTTTGTGTAACTTTCGAATCTCACAATTCCACATTTCTCATCAAGTGCCTAAATTTGGCTGACGAAAAGATGAACCTTAAATGGATTCAAAATACAGTTCACAATCTGTCCAGCTTTAGTTGTAATGTTTGCATTAGAGTTTTCTTTGTGAAATTTAGCACTCATGTCACCATGGTTTCGAAATAGAGTTAGATATCTCTTGTTGTTAAAGGACATTTCTAAGTGACTCTCTCACTCGCCATTGCTATTTTATCCCATCTAGTTTCTTGAATTCCATATTTCAATTGTTTTTCTTTTTCCTAATCACGGCACATGCCATATTGATTCCCTTTCCACCAGAAATCTCCACAACCAATTACTCATCCTTCGTCCACTTTCGACCAAATTACCTTTCCTCCCCTAATACCAGCCCACAGAAAACCCCTCACAAGGTGCTCCACTTTCCTAGAAATTCCTTTCAGAACTTGAATGCTTTCCAGTGTTGGTTCTATTAAATCTAGTCGGTCTCCTCTAGAAAGGGATGCCTTCATTCCAACTTTAAAATCTTTCTTTATCCTTTTCATCTAGTTTCTTGAATTCCATATTTCAATTGTTTTTCTTTTTCCTAATCACGGCACATGCCATATTGATTCCCTTTCCACCAGAAATCTCCACAACCAATTACTCATCCTTTGTCCACTTTCGACCAAATTACCTTTCCTCCCCTAATACCAGCCCATAGAAAACCCCTCACAAGGTGCTCCAATTTCCTAGAAATTCCTTTCAGAACTTGAATGCTTTCCAGTATTGGTTCTATTAAATCTAGTCGGTCTCCTCTAGAAAGGGATGCCTTCATTCCAACTTTAAAATCTTTCTTTATCCTTTTCCACCACCACATTCCAAACAATTTCAGCTCTAGGATAGCCACCCAAATAGAAAGCACCTCCCTTTCTCTCAACTTGTGCAATTAGTTTTGCAATGGGCGTGGGCTTATCAATCAACCTAAGTACACCAGATGAGGAACAAAACAAAACTGAAGATGAAATCCATTTCTATGTTGAAACGATCAAGTGACTCCAAAAATATACTTGATCTTCTCCCTCACAATCGAATCCACGGCTTACCGTGCTCTTCTTCTGACAGCAATTCCATAAAGTCCACATTCATGCTGCTTCCCCTGGCTTCTTCTACAACACCAGTGTGCATAAAGCAGATTCCAGCTGTTGGTTCCAATATCTGGATTTCATATTTTAAATGACTCACCAAATGAGGACAGAAACTTCAATGGATATCGACCAAAATGACCTCTCTCAATAATATGTTGGTGAAACAAGTTGCCTCACCAACACCTAAATTATGTCAGCAACATAGAAGAAGGCTATACCATCAGAACCAAATTTAGATAGATTACATTTGAAAGCAAAGAAGGTAACACTGATTTAAAATAAAAATTAAAAAAGGCTAATGCACTATCTTAATTGTTTTTTTTTTTTTTTTTTAAAAAAAAATCCAAAGTATTCAGGCCAAAATGAAAAAATCCAAAGTAATGCATTTTGCAGTCAACAATAAGCTGTACAGATACTTTATAATCTACAAGAATATCACCTTACCACACAATTTGAACTCCCACACTCCCTACAGTCCTCATGGCCATTGATACCTGAAATGGGTCACCAGACAAACGGACAATGTTACAATTAATATGTTAAGGATGCATCCGACATCCTAAAACTTTTTCTTGGAAAAACACAATTGATATAAATATAAATATTTTATGTTGTTACATGTGGTTTGCTTCAGAAAAGGAGACCTGACTGTTTTTTCTTTCTCCTAGTTGGTGTCTTAAGTGTTTAGTGCATGTAGGAAAAGAAAGACAGAAAATATAATCCTACTTTTAAATCTGCAATGCAACTACGGACAATACTTGTGTAAAGAAGACTAAGAAATTAAGTACCAGTGATACACCACCAGAACCCAGTTGGCACATAGTGTTTACATTTACTTCGGCTATTAGCAGCCCCGTTACAACCTGCCATTGACGAATCACAAGTACATAAGAAAAGGGAAATATAAAACAGGAAAAATTGTGTTGAATGTGAAACGAAACAAGTTAGCAACGGCCTAAGTGATAATGTAGAGAGGAAAAACAGAGAGTTACAAAATGAATGCATCAGCTGAGGTGGGTTAGCAACACAACACTTACCATGTAAATCCAACAGAGTATGCAGGTGATTGCAGAAGCCAGAAATCCGGATTCTTGTGTCACTGCAGGGATTGCAAGGATCCCAGCACCGATCTACAATACAAATATCATATGGAATTCAATACCAACTGTCAACTGTCAACAATTCCTTCCTCTAAAGTCAGCATTTTTGGATTGACAATCGGCATTCCAATAGCACTAACTAACTTCTAACTATAGTAATACAAAAAAAAAAAACGAAAGAAAAGAAAAACGAGGAAAGAAGAGTTGCATACCGTAGTCCCTGCGACGAGGAAAATGGCGCTGGATAGACTTCCTGCAAGTATAAATCAATTAAACAAAACAATAATAATAAGCAAATGAATAGAAAAATAATAATAATAAGTGAGTGACCAGACCAGCTTCTCTCTTCAAGGTGGCTTGGTTGAGATTGGAAAACAGCCTCTCAAACTCGAATTCCGTCTCGTTCTCAGACTCAGAGGGTTGAACTTGAGATTTTTTCTGCGACTGCGGGAGGCATTTGGTAAGTAGTTTTCTTGGACTTGGAGGAGGAGTTGTTGGAGTATTTGAGAAATGGCTCTTGCTCTTGCTCCTCCTCGTCTTCCTCTTTCCATTTCTGCAATTAAGTGGGAGTGGATGAGCTGAAGAATGCAGCAATCTTCTTGACGACCACGAACACGGAATTACAACGCAACAAGAAGAACAGAATGCTGCCGCCATTTTTTTTTCTTTTTTCTTTTTTCTTTTTTCTTTTTTTTTTTTTCTGTTTTTGGGTTTTAGATAGACAGATATAGTCATAGTTTCATAGAGAGGGAGGGTCCAGGCAGCAACACAGCCAAGCAAAAATAAAGCAACGCTCGACTGAGTCTCACTCACCTCCCACCGTCTCCATCCATTCATTCATCATCAGACGTGATTTTCTCTTTCTTTTTTCTTTTTCGTTTATTTGACATCTGTGGTTATTAGTAAATCACTTTAGTTACTTTATCAAAAATCAAAAATTAAAAATCCCCTTAGTTATTTTTTTGGAAAAAATTACCTTACTTGATAAACCGCCGTTTTGCTTTGCCTCCTTATTTTGTTTTGTTTTTTTTATAAATTAATGATATGAATTTTTTTTTAAAGGCTTAGTTTCACAAATGATCCTTGAGGTTCGAGAACTTTAATTTGGAGAAAAGACCCCAATAAGAAGATAAATTATAAAGGACAAAGACGAGGACAACCACTGGATAATTTTTAAAGATGTGGATCCTTCCTCGGATGAGATATTTCTACTTCTTGCAAATCACAACACATACATAAATTCATTAAAAATAAAATAAAATAAAATAAAATTTATGCGCATGTCAAACCATGATTGGCATGTTAGTAGTTCCCACTCAAGGAGATCAGTATTTTCCTTCTCAATACTAATGTTTAACGCTTGAAAATGCTCAAAATCTAATATATTTAGTCATGACTTGTAACCCTCAATGTGAAATTCTATATTCTCAACCTATAATAGTTGGAATGAACTGCATTAAATAATATGAACAATATTGCAACTTTCTCTGTGAGTGAGGGAGTGAATCACTCAATTGACTGGGAAAAATGGGAGGATGAGCCACAAGCACTTCTCGAAGCAGGTTCTGTATACCAGTTATTTTCTTCACGAGTGAGAAAGTTGGCCTCTGCAATAAAATTCCAAGGAAAAATACCATGCTTTAGACAAGCCTTGATATATCTCAAAAAAAATCTTTATATAATTTTCCTATTCTTTCAATCAAGCCTAAAATTATTCCAACAAAATAGGCGATCTAAAACTTTAGGCAACGTTCCATCAAGTGATGATTGACTTTCCCATTTCATGGTTGTCCATGATTAGCTGGGAGGAGGTTTCATAGCTATTGGATAAATAAATGATTCAAACAACAGCACGGGAACTAGCAATTATAGCATGCGTCAACAATTACTTCTTTGTTATCTTTTATTTTCTGCTCAGCAATTCGTAATAAACATGCTTCTGATGAATTTCTTTTACATTATCATAGCTAGTTAATACTCTTGATACAACTATGTTGTAAAAACATCAGATACAGTGCAATAGACTGACCTGACAAAAACACATCTTTATATTCATCATCATCATAAACGAATTGGGGAGGATCTGGAGAACCAATCCCAACAATAGTGCTTCCACTGCATCAACAATATTGCGAAAAATGGAAATGATGCAAATGTCAAATGAGTTTGTATCAGTAAACAATAATACATGGCAATATATGTTCTCCATGCAAAAGTTGACAATGTGATGTTTTTGCACAATGGTTTTCATTGTGGGCCATTTCACCATAAAACCCTGTTACAGATGAGGGGGGACTAGGGATACTTTTTCATCACCCATCAACCTGACAGCTTCGGCGTTTTAATGAAATAATGATAAAAGCAAGAGTTTAACTGAATATTCCAATAAGTGCTAAAATGGATGTACCTTCCAGACATAAAAACAGCACCATATTGTCCACAGCTTGCTGAAAGTACACGCTGTTTTAATCTTTTAAGAGATGGAAGAACTTCAAACGCTGGAGGTTCTGCAAATAAACACATATAAAAAGTTTGTAAATGGAGTGCTTTTTAGATAAAAGGATGGAACTGTAGCAGTCCAATACTTTATGACCCTGTTGAGACCCAAGACCTACTCTTGAAAACAAGCAAGGTTTCTCTAGTTCTGTAACAATGTCAATTCGGTACAAAGTTCTATGCAAAATATTTTAACAACCATCACATATGGAAGATTGTTTAACACATAATGTGATGCAGGGCAGCGGCTATAAGCTGCTGTCCAGCGACCCAAACATACCCAAAATACGGAGAATAGAAGGATAAAGCAATAGAATCAAAGTTGGAACGAAGATAATTGAGTTCTAGGGCAAAATCCCAATAGACACTCTATAGACTAAAGTCTAAAATTATATTCATCAACAAAAACTAAATACAAGAGTCTCTTAATAGCCTATTTATACTAGAATATAGAAAACCTAATTGACATAGGAATTAAAAACCTAAACAGGAAATTAAACCAAATCCTAGTAAGAATAGGAAAATAAGTAATAAAATAACCTATTAATTTAATATAACTAAAACTTAGCCTTATTGGCTGATGCCCACTTAGATTAGGAAAGTCTAATAGATGCTCCCGCATCATAATGACTATAATTTGAATGTGTAAAACACTTCTAGATATAAAACAGTTGAAAGGCAATCAAACACGATGCCTTAGATGAACCTCTCTGGTCATGTATACATACCTAAATCATTGATGCAAACATCCTGTGATATTCCATTCCTTGAAATTTTCTCCAGCAAAGTTACAGGATCAGCCTTACTAGTTCTATCCAATTGAAGGCGCTGAAATTGTTTTTTTTAAAAAGAAAAAGATTCTTAAAAGAGATGGTTTCAATATATTGATGCAGATTATTATTAATCCATTCACTACATTTAAATATGCAATACCTTGTAAACTTCAGCTGTTGAACATGCCTGTTGGGGCTTTATAAGAACCATTGGAAGGTCGAATGGTAGCGGTGGAGGAATATTTTGAACAACCTGGACATCCAGAACCAGAGCTGAAATTTAAACTCCCATAGAAGTACCAGACATTTTGAGGACAGGCACATATATGGTACAAAAATGCACCTACGTGCGTCAAATTGTTCTGTACATGTTGGATAGATTGTTCCATACACTTTCTAGGGGTGGAAAACAATTATGAATATATTTGCAGAGCCATCATCTGAAATGACATAGAGTGACCAACACACAATAAGAAACAGATGAAGTTCTATCTTTGTAATAAATAGACATACCTCACCTCGACCAGTACAATAGGCTGCTCCTTGAGAGAAAAAGAAGGGAACATCTGAACCAATCTCACTCGACCATTCTTGGAGTTCCTTCTCGGTGGCAAGAAAACCATTAAACTGATTTGCTGCCCAGAGTGCAGTAGCAGCATTGCTGCTTCCACCACCCAGCCCTGCTCCTGTGGGCACCTTCTTGTCAAGATGAATCTGCCAAAAACAATTTACATACAAAATATGTATATTTAGTTACAGCACCTAAGGTTGATTAAATTCGAAGAGATGCCAAGTTAACATTCAAAATCTTCTCAATCACCTAAGCATCTATTCTTACCCAAAAGAAATTGTTGCTACCAGTCTTCTTTCTGTAAAGGTTAAGGGCCTTAATAATCTGCAGAAAGAAGGTTCCCAATCACAATGTCCCAAGATTAAGAACAACAGGCAAAAAAGAAAAAAAAACAGTGCCTTACCAAATTTCTATCATCAAGGGGGACCCCAGGCACATTGGTTGACAAACGATCTTGAGCTTTTGAGGGTGACAAAGAAAACTTAATTACATCTCCAAGGCTTATTACCTAGTCAAGACACCAGGAGACATTTGGGGAGTAAGAGATGTATGTATATATAGAATACAAATGATGTGAACTTAATAACAGAAGAAGCAGGGCATAAAATTTCGACTTTCAGATTTTCTTACAAAAGATCATGTAAGCAGCAAGTAGTTATAAATTTGGATGGACTCACGTGAAAGAGAGATGCCAAATCATGAAACCCATCTTCCCTTTTGTTAGTTATTCTCAAGAAAACATTTATCTGCACGAGAAAGGTTTGCCAAATTCAACACAAATTGGAAAACCCAGTTGCCAGAAAATGCAAGAAGAAGCCCCGTAATGACTTACCTTGCAAGGTGAGAATAGAGTGAGCCTTGAAACCGGAGCGGCTTCCTTGTCCACCTCATCTGCCAGCTTGTTTATCCTTTCATCAGGATTGTACACTATCTAGTCACCAAGAAACCCAAAATTTAACAATCAAACAAGCATTTATATACAATTGAAAGCCCAGTGAAAAAAAACATAGAAACAACAAGAACTCAAGAGAGTCCAATTTGAATTTGAAGCATAACAAAGAATTGAGATTGAAGTACAACCTCTACTTGTTTTCTGGCAGAAACCATGAGTCTGACAAATGGGGTCCTTTGATTTCTAGACTTTGAGTCAAAAAAAGAGGACCCATGTGACCTGAACGAAGAGAGACTGCGATTTTCAATAATATTGGGAGATGGGTGGAAGATGGGGCTATGGCAGAGAAAATGAGAGGAAGCCATAGTTCCAGAGTGCACAGAAACGCTGGGCGAGACTTGAAGAGCTTGCCTGAAGCTTTGAGTATTTAGTCTTTTGAATATATGTGGTATTTACTTATACCTTCAGGAACAAAAGGTATCAATTTCTTCACACATTTTGCTACTCCTCCTTGTCCTGTTCAGAAATGGGTTTGGTGGGATTACGAAAAGAAAAACACTCGATTAGAACGGCAGTAAAAAAAACCGAGTCAAAAGTGTATTTGTGGGACAAATGCGGAAAGCGTCAAATCCCAATTGGCAATGCCTGCTCATACCCAATTTTTCAATCGCTTTAAGCGAAGAATTAATTTTTTTCAAAACTAGGAAAGGCAAATAGTCATCTTTTCCTTTTCAACTCGGTCAATTATGGTTCTAGTTTCCTCAGTTTCAACCATTAATGGTATAGCTACCTTCCTCTTTGGCCTTTCCATTCTTATCTTTCCCATTCATTTTGTGTCATCTGTATTCTGCTTACACCTATATTTGAGTATTTATGGCATGCTGAGCATCTTCAAGGAAAAAGGCAAAAGAGTGGGCAAACCTAATTTGCCTTGCCACATCAGCATTTTCATGCTCCAAGGGGAAAGGCAAATGGGTAGGTAAAATATACCTACTCTATTGACCAAAAAAAAAAAATACCTACTCTATTGACCAAAAAAAAAAATTACCTACTCTCCCCACTACTCTCCCCAACAAGGCAATATTGCGTACTTCAAAATGAAGAGGTATATTGAGCCCCACTTGCTTTTTATAATAAAATATCATCTCCACTCTCTCACCTACTTTCTATAAAATATAATAGTAAATGTAAGATAAAAATAAATAATATAATAATGGTTTGTAGACTTACATTGCCTAGTCACTTGGAGTGACAAACTTTTTTCATGAGGCAAATGGGTAGACTTGCATTACCTATTTCATTTGCCTCTTCCCTTGGAGATATCAGTAATGGGGATCCTGAGTTTTTGCATTTAGAGAATACACATTTACCCGCATTTAATAAAATCTTTATCATTCAAATCATCTAACGACTTAAAGCAAGTCACATCATCTAGAGGATAGATTTGTAATTTTCTTTGAAAATTGAGGTTAATAGTCCCTCCGTCTCTCAACCCAATATCCATAAACCTCATCATGACTATAACTCCATTAAGGACTACGCATCCATCTTCCAAGTTCCAACACTTACCCAATTTCCTCCTTTCAAGCCATCTAATTCCTATTTATGTTCATCCTCCTCATGACTGCTTGTCATAAGTTTCAATGGCCATCGCCCAATATTTCCATCCTCCTCCATATCCCCAATTTCATTTCATTATAAAAAAGAATTTATTTATTTATTTTAATTTCACTCATATCTTCTTTTTTGTATGATGGTAGATCCCCTAACCCTATCCCATAATGGATCCTCCAATTTGAGATCAGCAAGATTATTATAAAATTGGTATTATGGAAGTGGCCTTATGTTTGTGTAAATTACAAAGTCGGTTGAGAGCAAGATTGGTAATTTGAAATGGGTTAGTGTTTCACAGGATCGGTTTGAGAATTTTTGATTACTCATCAAAAAAAGAAAGGGAGAAGATTGAGAATGACAATGAAGTTGGTTCTGAGGAGAAAACAAGGAGTAACGAATGTCGTTATCATTAATAAAGGCAAAAACATATTTAGCTGACTTGGCTTGCTTTAAGTCGTTAGATGATTTGAATGCTTGAGATTTTATGAAATGCGGGTAAATGCGTACTCTCTAAATGCAGAGACTCGAGATCTGGTAGGCGTATTAGAATCATCCCAATTCATTATTCTCATGTGTTTTTTTTCAACCACAGGACCCGAGATTTCCATCTCATAAGAGACTCCTGCGTCAAGCGTTGCATTAAGTTCATATAGTTTTCGAGTATAATCCATCGTTGCTTGCTCATTTCCTTGGTCCTTCACAAGAACGGTTTCTTGTACAGCTCATCCTTAAGGACGTTGATTCTATGCTTACACACAAGACTACCCCTCTTCTCGAAAGCTTCACAGGGACTACTTTATGACAACGGACGACCGCCCGTAAGGGGTTTACTGCACAAGGCCCCTGCGATACTTATACATAAGGAATAAAAAATTATTTTAATGATTTAAAATAATTTTTTATTATTTGTTTGTCCACCTGGAAGTCCATGTCATTAAAAAATGGGGCCCATGTTTGACACATCAGCATTTAACGAACTTATTAACGGTTTGTGTAACGGTGGGGGTAATTTGTAGGTTTTCCAGGAGTTTGAGTATGGAGTTGTACATGTCTTACAACATATGTATGAATTTGAAAATGACCCTATAGTTTGGGGGGTTTTTTTTATGGAAGTTCCATGGTAAAATCTGTAATCAAATACCCTCAAAATGGGGAGTCAGATAAACTAGGGAGAGTAGTTGATCCGATTCCAATTTCTTATTCCCAAATTCTTAACTTTCCTAATTCATGACATCCCTCATTCCTTGTAAGTAAATGTGTCATGTATTAAAAATTATGTATTAACTTTAAAAGAAAAATATTAGTGTTTGACATTTGTTAAGGCAAGATTTATGTGTTGGCATGTTATTAGCCCAAAATCATGTTATGTAATATTTAGGATAGGTCGAGTAAGGTTCAAGTGATGAAGATTTGATTGGAAGTGATGAAGAGGAACAATGGTTTTGAAGCTCTAAACAAGGGCGGAACCTGGAATTTAATAGTGGGTGGGCTAGCTAAAGTTATTAGCTTAAAATCCAATGATATTTTTTTTGTATTTACAATTTCTATAGACTTTATATAAATGAAAGTACACATTAGTATAAACCATACTAGTTATAAACACAAGAAAAAAAATGGAATTAGAGCCATATTATTCGCGAAAGGAAGAATTTCATTAAGAAAAATGGTTCTTTTTTAGAGAAAAATCCATGAAAATAAAATAAAATTGGAGAGTTAGAGCTAAGGACTTTAACCTTATTGTGGGTTATTGGTGTTGGGACAGTCTTTGACACTATATGCAAATGTGAAAAAGCTCTAATGATGCGTATTGGTGTTGCCAATGTATGAAATTGTGTATTTTTATTTATTTTTAGGTTAAGATACTGGCTTATATAGGTTTGATTTTTTTTCCCCACCAAAAACATCACTAGGCTACAACCCATCAGAGCCCACATAATGGTTCCGCCCATGGCTCTAAAGCACAAGGTTGTCTCAACTCATGATTAGGAAAGGTAAGTTTGACTTAGAGACAACGCATGCATTCATAGGTGGTTAGACGTTTTATTTACTCATCAGTCAACTTGACGTGATGAGCAGAGTGCCTTAAAGTGCTTAGAATTGCATGCAATTTTAATAGCATGTTCATCAAGATGTTAGGTTTCTTGTACAAAAGTTTTGGGGCACAATTTGCATTTTTGGAAAAGGTGCACACTATCTTTTTCTGTTTTGGAGAGTTTTAAATTGTTTTTTTCTTCCTAATCTTTTAGGGACTCTTTCCTTTTGTTGGTATGAGTTTCCTAGAATTTCTACACATGTTTTGTTTTAGGAATTTTGTTCCTAATCCTATTGGGTCTTTTTACATCTTCCTAGTTTGATTCTAAAACAAGTTTTAAGTCTATAAATACTTGGTTTTCGTAATAGTAAAAAGACACAACTCACATACAATATCTTTGTGCTTCAAACGTCGTTTCTTGAGTGAGTTGATTTTTCATATATGAACTCCTAGGGTTTAAAATCTTTTTCTTGAGAGAGTTCATCGTGCATATATGTATAGTTCAAGTAGATCGTTCCTTGTTGAATCTACTTGAATTATAATCTTCATTCATACATACATCTTTGAGTCGGTGACTTGTGCCTTGCATGTTGAGCCAAGAAGACAAGTCTTGGTTGGTTTGTGCCTCAAGGTGATTGATGAACGAGGGGAGTTTGTGCCGCACTTGAGAAGATGAACGAGAATCAATTCTCAAGATTGGAGAAGTTGCAAGAGGCGTGAGGTTCGGCTACCTTATAGAAGAGTCAAGTATGTTGAGTCGAGTCGAGTAGAGTCTTTTATGTACTTCTTGTTATTTTTAGTAAATTGTTTTCTAATTGGCAAAGTGCTCGTGGTTTTTTAATCTCGTTTAGGGATTTTTCCACGTTAAAATTCGTTGCGTACTTTATTGCTTGTTTATTTGATTGTTTTTAGAATTGGATTTAATTGGATTAAGTTTTAATTTGGGAATATTAAAATTGGACTTAAAATATGATAAAAGCCTATTCACCCCCCTCTAGGCTATTGGGTGGTCTAGCCACGCAATTTCAACATTAAATATATAGATTTATTTGTAAGTGTAATACATGTGGCACAAAATGAATAGAAAATGCAAGAAGGGAAAGTCAAGAGAGAACTCCTCTAATGGGAGATTGTTTGGCTTCTTAAAAATGCAGAATTTCCATTTCACCCATATAGGAATGTGAGCCACCATCTCATTATCGCCATGTCATCCATCACTACCATGTGGACTGTTGTTATCGGTTCAGCTACACCAAAATCGATTCAGCTACAGCCTCAACTTGAGATACTCACAAGTCACTACTACAAAAATCGAAATAGACGATGGTAATCCAACGTCGTGTATTCGGTTTTTCAACCGTCGTGAAATTGAGCGACATCTTTTGATGCATAAAACCACGACGGTAAATCCCCGTCGTCTATTATTTGTAAAGACGACGCTTTTACTCAAAACCGTCGTCTATTATGAAGTAAAGACGACCCTTTTTATATGAAAATGGTCATCTATTATGAAGTAAAGACGACCCTTTTCATATAAAAAGGGTCATCTATTATATGTAAAGACGACGGTTTTTTTTTATAAAAAGAGTCGTCTATTATTAAGTAAAGAACTATGTTTTATTATATCCAAAGACGTCGGTTTTGTTAAAAAGCCATCATCTATTAAATGTGAAGACGACGATTTCTTGGACGGTTTTTTTTATAAAAAGGGTCGTCTATTATGAAGTAAAGACGACCCTTTTTATATGAAAATGGTCGTCTATTATGAATTAAAGATGACCCTTTTCATATAAAAAGGGTCATCTATTATATGTAAAGACGACGGTTTTTTTTATAAAAAGGGTCGTCTATTATAAGTAAAGACGACCCTTTTTATAAAAAAAACCGTCGTCTTTACATATAATAGACGACCCTTTTATA